ATGCAGTTTGTTTTGTTTTTGAAAAGGTTGCTAACACCAAGCAAGGTGTCCAGAGCATTTGGCATCTGCTGCAGTGTTGCATGGGGACAAGAACACTCTCACTAAAGCAAAGCCAGCGCATTACTGGTACAAATATGGAAAACCGAATGGTGTGAAATGATTATTTAAGTGTTTGAGGATAACGAAGCTCTCTCTATCCTCATAATGACTAACCGTATCAAACATCGTGTTGGCGTTTTACAAGGTATCACATCACCAGTAACCATGTCAACACTATTTAAATAGTATTACACCGTCTGACTTTAATGGAAGTCTGGTTCTGCGTGCTGCTTCCCGTTGACCAGACATAAAGGGACTACTGTCAGGGCCTCAACTCACATAAAATGTGTCTGAAAGCAGCATGATACGTATAAAAGTCAAGTGCAAATAAAAATCCTCAGCAGTGTTTAATCCTTAATCAATAGCCAAGGATCAATATCAACAATCTGCTTTATGGGATGGCATGGTGGGTGTGATAAGGTTTTCAGTCACACAGAAGCAGCCAGAGTGACCCCAATCAGATTTGGTGTGCTGGCTCTCTATGAGCTGACATTATTTGTTCCTTTCTTTCCTGTTATTGGAGAGAATACTGAAGCCAAACCTTTATTCTTATTTAAACATTAGCACATATGCAACAACTGCATCCTGCTATTCTTCCTTTTATGGCTGCATCACGGGCACCCAGCACAGCGTGATTGTGAGTTATTCTTGCCCAGCCTGCAAACACCTTTCTACAGCTTTAAAATAAAGAAATAAATTATACTGCGGCACCAAAAATCTCAGATTCATATTTGCTGAATATGTTTTGTAGAGTTTTATTGTAAAACGTTTTTTCTGCAGTTTTTCTCTGAAAACATCCTGACTCCGTTTTTGGACAAATGCGGTAGTTTTGAGAGAAAAGCTTGAAATATTTTTAGAAACAAATGTAGGTGAGCAATTTTCATCAATTTAACCTAGAATAGCGCCTTGTAGAATTGCACGAGTTAACACTGAACAACAGAAAATGAGTTCAAGAAAACAAATGAAGAAAAACGTTAACAGAAAAAGAAATACTACAAAAACCAGATTCTTCTGGATGAAAATGAAGAATTTAGTGTTTCTCCACGACAGAGTTTTTACTAAGATCAGCTTAGGTAGTAGTGTTTTTATAGGGGGCGGTCCTTGCACGAAACTGAAATGGTAACACAGCGCTGCAGACACTCTGGATGCATTTGGCATTGACCTTTAGAGACCTTTGCCTGTACATTTGTCTTCAGCACTGTAACCCATGTGTCTCCTAACAGTTTTATAGCAACAGCTGGGGCAGACGAGTGAGGACAGTTTAGAGTTGTCTTGTAAATTTTTGAATAGTTTTATATTATTAAACCATTGTACTTCTCGTATCCACACAGCTGTGACAAACTGCAAAAAAGTATTGTAACAAACCAAACCTCAGTAATATCTGCCAGAATACATTAAATGCAAATTGCAACTAACAAAAGGGATCCAGTTAAAAGATATAAATTGCAGCTGATATTTTCTCAATTTCCATTTTGCAAAACAAAATTTGCATTGTTTAAAGGTGCAATATGTAAGACAGAAGCAAAAATTACATCCTGTGGTCAAATTTGGTTCCTGCAGTCACAAAATGTCTCTTTCTCACTCCTTCAATTCAATTCAATTCAATTCAGTTCAATTCAGTTCAATTTTAATTCAATTCAATTCTATTCTATTCTATTCTATTCAGTTCAATTCAATTCAGTTCAGTTCAATTCAATTCAATTCAATTCAATTCAATTCAATTCAAATTCTTAGATTCTTTATTTTTCCCAGAGGGAAATTAGAGCCTTTCATGGTTGTTGTTTTTTTTATCTTCTTGCTGACAAAACAACTTGTCAGCAAGAAGGTAAAACAAATCTTCATTACTCTGTTAAAAAATGAACCAAATAATGGAATTGCTTTATAGTTACGGACAACTGAATAAAGGGATTAAAATGCCTTGTTTCAGTCATTAATCACTTCACACATACAGTGAGGTGCAAAAGTTTGGGCAGCCTTGTTAATCTTCATGATTTTCCTTTATAAATCGTTGGTTGTTACAAAAAAAATACTTCAGTGACCCACCTCACCGGTGCGGCCAGCACGCACCCCGCTGTTTTTGCGGTCGGTAGATCTTTTAGAACTGCAGTTCAAAGGTAACTCATAAGGTGAATATATATGAACCCAGGTAGCAGCCTAGATTCTCGTTAGGATTGAGAGGAGATGCAGGAAGATAATATACAGACAGGACAGAAAAATAGTTAAATAAAAACAAGTTAGTTTTTGTACCTGGTGGTTGCAACAAACAGACACCATTGAAGGTCATCAGAAGTGAGGAACAGAAAATGAAATAATTATTTTAATGTTTAGAGCAGCAGGAACTCCGAGAGGCTGCAGGCGCATCAGTGAGTTTGCAGCCACTGCGCAGGGGGGGGGGGGGGAGAGGGCTGAAGCAGAAACTACCGTTGTTAAAAGAAATGTGTTTAACTTTGAAAATGTCAAAAACTCCAGCGAACCACCCCCCCGGCCCCCACCGCTTCAGGTGTATGACGTCATCAACGACTAGTCAAAGTTGACTTGATTTTCACAGTCGACTTTAAAAGAATTAACTCATGCAGCCCCTACTCTGTACATCGTTCAACTATTCGATGCACTTTGCACAAGGAGATGCTGCATGTGAGAGTGATGCAGAGGAAGCATTTTCTCCACCCACAGCACCAACAGAGCTGTGTAAATAAGGTGCTAACAGACAGACACTGCAGCATTAGATCGGTGCAGACTTGGCAACCCAAGTCAGATTGTAAACAGCAGCTATGTCCCTCTTTGGTCTATTTGAAAGAAAAAAACATGACCCCCCCCCCAGCCCGAGACATGATACTCTTTTGTGATTAAACCACTGTAGAATTTTGACAAATGGTCTTTTATGTAACATACATTTTTGGGCTTTGCTTCAAAATGCCATTTACTAATGTTTGGAGTAATTTAAAATTGTTTTCAAACAGCAGTAATCGTTCACACGGTTGCTCTTCCGTCTGACATATATGACAACTAATTCAGTACCTAGACAAGCCCCACTAACTGTGCAGGACAAATGCTGGATTTCTGACAACGAACACTTTGACTGCTGTTCAGACACCAAAAATAGAATAATAAAGTCATAAATAAGACCTTTTCCAAGCAGCCCGACAGATCTATGGCTCATTGTTGTTTAACAATAGTTTACATGCACATTGTTTTCACGGAAGTGTTCCAAGGATCTTCGGCTCATTACAAAACATGGTTTTTTACTATCTAGATGTGTACAAGCATCCGGGCAGCAGCCTGCCTGAAACGCATAAATAAACTCAGCCAGCTGTGGATCAGCTGGTTGGAAGGCAGGAGCAGTGAGGAAAAGCAGAATTTGTAAATAGCTCTTAGCTTGGAGAGAACAGAAAGCAGCATGCATGAGGAGCAGCCATGCAACAGCCACTGGCACGCCAGCAGAAAAGTGTCACAAGTCCACAGCAAGATTGTTTTGATTAGAGCTCCAAACGTGCTGTGAGTCACGGCTGCTCCTTAGATCGTCTCTGGAATATTTCTCATTAATAGTGATGCGATTTTGAGGCAATGTTTGACATTAAAGTTTTATTTGCTGTCATTGTGGAAAATCTGGCTGTCTAGAAGCGAAGACGGTTCCCATCACAACATTCAGTTATCATGTAATCATTTCTAACAGCATCAAAGTACTTTAGATGAAACTTTGATGACATGAACTTTAATAAAAGCATCATTTCACTCCTCTTGTTGTGCACAAAACTCTAGACAGTAATTAAAGCCTTAAAGGGTTTTATTGTGCTTACAAAAAGCAGGAATAAACCAGAACTTGGAGAAAAAGGTCGGTGTCCAATCCAAAAATGACTTTCATTTTTTTATTACTTTTGATGCATTATTTCTAAGGTTTGGGTAAAACGTACCTGCTGAAGCAGACTGTCTCAGAGCTTGACATTTGAACAAAGACAGCAGCAGGGTGTCTTATTTAGCAGATTAAACATTTCAGGCTGATAACTCATGGCTGAATTAAAGGGATATAAAAATGGCAGCTGGGTGTTATAAATTGCAAAAACTCCTCATCAGACAGACGGACCTTCACCCTTGGGACGTGTGTGACTCAACACACAAAGATAGATCTTATATCTCAACACACACGCGTGCACACACACTTGCACAAATGCGTGCACTGATTCACATCCAGATGGTCGAACATCTCGTGGGATGTTCATTTACTGTCATTTCAACAGATCTGGGCATTTGCCTAATGGGTAAGACGCCATAAAAACTCTCTCAGGATGAAGGAAAACGCCTTCACTAACTGCAGATGAGCCCAAAACATCAGATTCCTTCATTCGCATTTCTTTTTATCTGTCTTATATCAGGGTGATAAAAACAGAAAGACATTCAACATCAAAAGAAATATTTAACATCAAATTTAACTTTATTTTAGAATGTCCGTCCAGTTGGGCGTCTTTGTCCCTTTTAAGGAGAGACAGCAGGTTTTGAGGGAATTCAAAACTGTAAAAGTGTCTCAAGTCTTTGCCATCACCCTTAAACTTGAGCACTCTCTTTTCCACCCTGCAGCTGACTGACAGACATGATCACCCTGAGCATCACTCAAGACAGCCCTCCGCCTCCGTTCACCATGCCAAAAACATATGATTTACCACAGATGTCAGCGGTGCATGCCTCGTCACTCACAAGCACACAACTGCCATGCAGCATCATTATTTTGGATGAAACATCGCTTTCCCAGGCTCATCTAGCTCTTTTGTGTCAGTAATACAGTTTGTGTCAGTTTGATAAAACAAACCTCTCTCACTCCATGTTTTTCTTTCCCAGTCCCAGTTTTCTCTCCAAGTTTCTAGATGTAGCAGACCATGACTGACTTGAGAAAATGAAGTCATACTCACACTTACAATCCTTTCTGAAGTGCCACCCCTGGAGATGGTGGTCCCATTGAGTCCCACAAGTGAGGGCAGAGTCTGAGACATCCAGTTGGTCACCATGGCCATAGTGCTGAGCACGGCCCCAATCTTGAGCATAGGAACGCTCATGCTTGCTTCCCGTGGGGCCCGGCACAAATGGCCTGACAGCCAGCTCTGCCCTGCCCTAGCCTAGACCTCAGCTCCTGTAAACCCCCTATCGTCTGCAGACAGCCTGGACAGGATGACAAGCCTCTCAGCTTCTGCTTCAGCCTGAGCGGCTGCAGATTCCCCGAGAATGGGTGAAGCAAAGCTGTATTACTGACACAGCCCGGGCTGAGTGAAAGGTTTGGGCAAGGACCGGTTAGAGAGGAGCAGTTTCCGTCCAACAGCATCACACTGAGAGCCTTTCCTCTCAGAGTGACTGCCTCAGCTTCAAGCCTTGCTCCCTCCCTTTTCCTCTCTCTCCCGTCTCCCTTCCTCAAGATGCAGAGCTGCGCATTGGCTGCCTCTTTGTCTCAAACCCCCCCCCCCCCCCCCCCCCCCCGATCAGCTTCTGCTCTGACTTTGCCAGCCCTGTTTTACATGCAGTTTTCTATCCAGTCTTTCCATCTGCTCTGGTTTTCTTTGGCGGTTCTTTTACGACTTGCATCTTGAAATGAGTGCATGTGTGTCTCCGTGTGTAGATCTAAGAGAGGATGATTTGAGGGCACTGATCGGTGTGTGACACGTGAGTGCCCTGGGCACCTGAGTACCATTCTTTGCGGTGTAGACTGTCCTGCTGTCTAATCTCACTGTCTGTCTGGAACAGAGGACTGAGAATATGACATGATGGATGTGAAGGCTGGTCATGTGGACAGCTGGTTCGGCCATGCACTGAAATGGGAGAGATCCAGGTGCCTCTACCTACTGCTGCCTCTGACAGCTCATCTATCACACGACTTCATGACAGTCTAGACAATCTGCAGCTTGCTCTGTCAAAGACAGAGCCGTAATCGTACTCATCAACTCATTTTACATACAACACACATACTGTCATAAACACATTATTTTACCATCCTTGCTCACAACGTACTGCTGAAACCTTCGAAGCTCGGTGCATAAAACTGTGTTGATTCAAGCCCTAATCTGAGTGTGCAGCCTGACTTAATGGACAATTAAATATAATATAATCAGGAGGATATGTAACCAAAAACAAGACGTGCAGCAGTGTCCTGTTGTAATACAACCAGGTAGATTCATCATCATCAAACATGCACTGAAGATCAGATTAGAAGAGGGATTACATGGATTCCACCTTAATTCGTTCCCTCAGAACAAACGGAAAACAGATATTTGGTCTTTGTGCCATTTCCTGTCCTGAACAGCAACACACACATGAAAATATGGCCTGTTCCGAGACAAAAAGGCCAAGTCATCCTGCTTTCTTCAAGGTCTGCTGACTTACATTTTGTCAGCCTCTTTCCCCAGTCAACAACACACACACACACACACACACACACACACACACACACACACACACACACACACAATCGACTGGGTTTAATGTGTGAGTGATACGGGTTCATCTGTGGGTTGAAGGGATGTGAGGAGAAGAGACAGCTTTCTGTACTTCATCCAGGAAGCGTCAGCACACTCCAGCTCACCTGCTGGCGTCTGCATCAGGCATGCTCGGGCCATTTTTGCATCACTATCGCCTCCATGAGGTTATAAGTAGAACTGCATGCTGTAGCTGTCTTACAAATAGTGTCGGAAACTTTGGTTGGAAGAGGCTGAATCTGGAGGCATGTATGTGTCATCTGATGGAAATGTTTCAGGAAGACTTTTTAAAATTAGAATTACATTAATTTACCCTTGGTCTTTTTGTAAAGGTCAACATTTAAAACAAACCTTATACCAAAGGAATAATTGTCATTATTTTTCTAGAGATGACTCTTTAAATGGAGTCGGTTAAATATTTGCATGTTTGTATTTGTTGCACCAGCTAGAAAATAATGCAGTAGTGGTATTTTCCACTGGGTGGCAGCAAAGACTCAAACATGATTGCAACTCTGATTCTGTGTTTAGTAAATCAGCCTTTCTAGTTGACTCTGTTCAAAGAAAACCCAGAGCAAAGCGCCCAGATGGAGCAGCACTGTGGATCATTAAAGTGATCTTCGGCTCAAAAACACATGAATGAATTAGGATCACTTCAGCAAGGATTCGTTTTCTACGTGTGTGTGTTTTAAAGGTGCAATATTTATTGTTCCTTTTTTACGTGTATTTTAAAAGATCATTAAAAGACATTTCAGATGAACAAGAAAATTTGAGGAAATGTTTCCTTTTTTTGTGAACTCTACGTTTAATCACTTCATTTTCTGACCTTTCTGAGATTTATTTACATAATGTGGAATCATTACCATACCATACCATACCATACTTTATTTATAAAGCACATTTAAAAACGGCATGGCAGCCGACCAAAGTGCTGTACAGAATAAAAAGTAAAAACACAATACAAAACAATACACAGTCAACAATAAAATGCACAACAAGGCAGATAATCACAGTCAATAAAAAAACACATAATAAAATAATAAAAGTCATAGATTTAAAAATGCCCGGTCGTAAAAGTGAGCCTTCAGCAGCGATTTGAACCGGAGGAGGGATGATGCCAGCCTCACTGAAAGAGGAAGTGCATTCCGTAGTGTCGGAGCAGCGTAGACAAAAGCACGCTGCCCCCGCGTTTTGTATTTCATTAATGGAACACGAAGCAGCAGGCAATCAGCAGACCTCAACGCCCGGTTTGGCACATACCTAGTGACAAGATCCGACAGGTAATCCGGAGCCAGACCATTCAGGGCCTTAAAAACAAAAGTCAGGATTTTAAACTTGACCCTAAAGTTTACGGGTAGCCAGTGGAGCCGCGCCAGTACAGGTGTGATATGTTCTCTCCTAGGAGTGTTTGTTAAAAACCTGGCTGCCGCGTTCTGTACGACTTGAAGCCTGTTAAGAGCGGAGGCAGGTAAACCAATTAAAATGGAATTTGCATAATCCAGTCGGGAGATGATAAAAGCATGGATTACGGATTCCAGGTGTGCTCGTTTCAGGATCGGTTTTAAGCGGACTAGTCTGCGCAGCTGATAAAAACACGATCTGACCACTGCGTTAATCTGAGGGCCCATGGAAAAGTGTGTATCCATTTTCACCCCAAGGTTGGTAACACACTGCTTGAGGTCAAAAGGGAGAGTGGCCAAATCAGAAGATACGTGTGTGGTTTTGTTAGGGGTCATCAGGAGTGCCTCAGACTTAGAATCATTTAGCTTAAGGAAATTATTAGCAAGCCAAACCCTCACTTCAGCCAAACATTGGTCCAGAAGAGAGAGGGAGTCTGGTGTTTTTAGTCATTGGACTGTTTTGGAACTTTTATCAACTTCAGGATTTTAAAACACCTTCGTTGCGGTAAAACTTTTAATATAAGTTTTTACCAGGTGTTTTATTGTTGATAATTTGCTTTGTACTGTCAAACGTGTTCATTAAGTTGTTACAGCAAAAAAATATCTGATTAAATCTTTAGACTTAAACAGCACAAAAATGATGCTTCTTGAATAAAACTTCAAGTTAAGTTCAGCAGAATAAAATGTCCTAGTGCAGGGAGTCAAATGTCCTGTTATGAGGATGTGTTTGTTCAGGAGGATAAAGTGCAGCCAGCAAAGAGCCTGTAAGGTCAACATAAAGAAAACTAAACAGGGTTTGTAGTTGTTCTTTTGTTTTCAGATAAGTTCAGATGCTTCATGAATGAATCTACCAGGGGGATGACCTGGTTAATAAAGGGTTAAAGGTCTCAGTGAAACCATGAATTAATAATCAGAAACAAGGCACCTTCTGCTTGTCTGACAGAAAACAGCTTCAGCCTTTAGAGGTAATCTGTAACTAAATACGACCTTACTGATGCATGAGTCAACACAAATCTAATTAGATGAGATTTTTTACTTTAACACAACTCAAACATTTGATTTACAAGAGTGGGTCACAGGTCATCGTCTCCAAAGCGCTGGACTAAAGAAAGTATGAGGAATAATGTGGGAGGTGAGGACAAGCTCTCTCACATCACATGATTCACCATCTGCTGGCAGGCACACCCTGCATTAGCCAGAGAGGGAGCCAGCAATTTAACCTGTATTAATCTAATCCATTTTGATTAATTTTCATGGCTGTTTTGTTCTTTTTAATTAATTGTCCAGACTAATTTTCCCTTTAACTCTGCAGTGTCACTGCATCCTCTTCTTTGATGTCTCTGGTCGTCCTTCATTGTGAATGCACGTCAGCTCGCGTCTTCTCTCCCCTTGTGTTGTTTCTCCTGTTTCCTTTAACACCAACAGAATATGATTACCCTCTCTTTGCCCTTCATAGGCCCTGTATGATTCCTGATGTATCATAATTGTATTTTTGCAAACTTCAGCATAAATTATATCAATAAAACACCAACAACACGTTTTTACAAACACTCACACCAAGACTACTTGTGCTTCATCATTAACATCTTGCTTGTTGCCTGGACTGTGCCCCATAAAGGACATTTTTAATCAGTTCAAATGGGGAAAATGCCCACCAGCCACACGGCAACGGCAGCATTTGTGCACGCCCGTGGATGGCAGTAGAGCACCACCAAGCCCCGCGGCCACAGCGAAAGACTGGGTGAGGTAACAACACATGGGAGCAGAAAGCGCCATGCACTTGCCGCATTGTCACGGAGCACTAACACACGGCCTGCTGCAGACCTGAAGCTGAAATGTAGCAGCCAGTTACACCTCGACTACTATCGCAGATCTGAATAATAATGAAGGCAGTGCTCAGACGCTGAGCCCCGTGTGAGTCTGAAAGATGCTGGAGTCATCGTGCTCTGAGAGCACTACTTTTCTGAGTCATGATTAATTAATTAGCTGATAGACAAGGAGGCCCACAGCCTTTTGAATACATTACGATCTAAATCATCTTAAACAAGGTGTGACCCTGTTACCATGGCAACTATTTTAATGGCATAAATAAACTGTGCCCTGAGGTTCAGGTCAGAAGAATAAACAATGGAGTGTTTTCAACATGGATTGTTTAATCTATTAATGGCTCCTGCGGGCTTTTGATTAGAAACTCATTCGGGTTTTTTTTTATTTCACCGTGACTAAAACCACAGACGAGCTATAACAATCGACGTGTTCATGCATCAAGCCCAGAAAATACACTTTTTACACAGTAATCTGATCAATACGTACGTATCTATACAGGCATGCGTATTTGTCTATACATGCCACAGATTAATAAGGGAATCTTTCAAACACTACCCATCAGGGTGACTGTGTGGATTTGCGGGGGTTTCATGAAAACCTCACGTAGGAGCCTTTGAGACCACAGCTTGCATCAGCCGGGATTTTTAAGCCTATTTATCAGAATTCTCAAAGATGAT